TACGCCGTATTGACTCATTGCTCATTGTCATGTGAGTCCCAGGATTATTTCACCATGCCGTCGCTGTTTCCTGTTCCGTTTTGTTGTAATTCCAATATGTGGAACAGGTGCTTGATGATGAGGACAAATGATTTGCAATATGTGTGGGTTTTGTCCGATGTGCACCTCCGTCTCGTTCTCCTCTCCGGCAGAGCTCAGAGCGAGACATAGACAAGGCTGGCCTCTGCTGGAAGGGGGGTGGCAGCACAGGCAGCAGAACGCAAAAGGAGAAGTGCTTTGCTCTCATAATGGGGTCAGTGGCTCCCGGAGAGGTACGTCTCCTCGTTCAAGAGCCCTCCTCGTGCGCGTCTCCTCTCTGTTCCACGCAGGAGGGGCGGGAAAAGAGAGAGAGGCCGGGATGGAAATAGAAGGAGGACACGAGACACGCATCCCCTGACAGGCTGCCATTGATTCGGTCCGAGGTTTTAAGACACAGTGGTTTGGCCTTCCTCGGATGGAACTGCCCATCCCCTTTCACCAGCAATCATTTGCAAAATATGTGCACTAAGATAAGAGAACGAAGAATGAGTATTTATCAACGAAAAACCATGCTTAATCCTACAGATTTGTCTCCCCATTTCCATTTTTTTTTTATATCGGGGCATAAAAACAGCCTATCTCTCTTGGAGAGATTAATCTTGGAAAGGAGCTTTGAGAGGGAAAGTGGGATGATTGCCGGCTCTTCTCTGGGAATTGGGTTTATGGTCCAGGGAAAAGCATGCGGAAAAGCAGGGCTGCCAAGAGACCATGGCAACACAATAACCATTTAGCCTGTGCATATCTGCTCCTGTTTAACCCTTCACGCAACGGCTGATTGATCTGTTTATGTTTAATTCAACGTGTTACTTGCCATTTCTTTGTCATTAATTGTGAAATTGTGAATGAAAATTGTTTCTACAATTTTTCAAAGTGTACATTCAAAGTGTACAAATCAAGTGTTTTATTGGCATCTATGGTTCCATGAGGAACCTTTAACATCCATGGGCCCTTTATATTGAACAAAAGGGTTCTTTATATTGGAAAAAAAAAATCATCTTTAAATTATTAAAATGTTCCTTATACTAAAAAATAAATTTATTTTAAGAACTGTTCACTGAAACATGGTTCTTCTACGGCATTGCTCCTGCAAACACCCTTTTGGAACCTTTGTTTTTTAAGAGTGTAATTTGACACAAAACTGTTTTCTCTCCTACTTTTCTTCTACACATTTGATATGTTATTATAAATGTAAGTTCTGTTCTCAGGAGTCCATAGAATTGTGCTGATTTAAAAGATTCATAAACATGAATCAAATACTCCAGAATAAACAAATCAGTGCTTTTGCATTAGAAACAGAGAACTCCAGAATAAAACGGGGGACGAATGTTGTGTTTCTCTGCCCGGTGCGGAAGTACGTGGGTACGTGGGTGGATGAATGGGATCGCAAGTGCACATGTGCACATTATTTAATGGGAGGGTGTGGGGAAGAAAGAAAATGGGAAGAAAGGAAGGTGTTCGCTCGTGGCTGCTCAAAGTGGGGCTGCTAGCCTTGAGATGGACGGACAGGCCTGGTGGGTAAATGGAAAGAGAGATGGATAGAGGGAGAGAGCGAAGGAGACGGGTGGAGGTGTGGGCACGTAGCTTATTATTTCTCTCCTCATGTGTTCTCTTCTGTTCCCCTGCAGAACCACACACTGAGCCAGCACGCACAGTGAGACCGGGCCCCGCAGGACTCCCGGTTCAGCCTAGAACCCCGACCCAGGCCCGGTGGGGGAGGAACATTTCAACATCACAGCCAATCAAAGTGTCATTTGCTACTCACATGTAAAACTCTAACGATTCCGCCACCAGGCGCAGCTATTACGAACGGTGGGGAATGAATATTAATGGGATATGCTATTAAAAAAGAAAAGGAGAGGAAAAAAGGAGATGGAGAGAAAAAGGTATTCTACGTGCAGTATTTTTTATCATCCCTTCTTCCTGGTTGTGTGTTCTTTATTTTCTCCCCGTTTGCTTTTTCGGTTTTTCTTGATTTTTTTGGGGACAAAAGATGTAAAAAAAAATATTGGAAGGAAAAGACACCCTCTGCCTGATTTTAATCTCTAGAAATACATATCTTGTCCTCTGTTGCTTCATGTATCAAACTTCATACGTGCCAATTTTGTTCTTTTCAATGCATATATTCTCAGCCCTTTTTTATTTGTTGATTGATTTGTACCTTAATCACACACACTTCCTCTTTCTCTGTCTCAAATGCAGACACTCCAATCTTAACTTGCTCTCATTTACGCATCATTTGACATCAAAACCAAGAATGCAACAGTATTTTAAAACCAATTCGCTCTGGTAAACATTTTGAATATATACACAGTATACACAAACACACACAGTAAGTGTATATATTGCAGGTTATAAACTGTAGTGTACATTGTGTACTATTAATTATGTAATTTTATAAACTTTTATTGTATAAAAACAATTTATATTACTTTATAATTTAGGTTTTTGTTACAAAAAATTATAACATTTTATTTTAAATTAAATTAAAATGTCAAATTATATAGTCATGTATCAAACTTCATATGTGCCAATTTTGTTCTTTTTCAATGCATATATTCTCAGCCCTTTTTATTTGTTGATTTATTTGTACCATTTATTTCTTGCAGTAAATAGGTACTTGTGCTGTGCTGTGATTGCTTGCCAGTCGTAATATTTTTCCTTTCTATTATTATTGTTATATATTTTCTTTTTTCTAATTACAGTAAAAAGACAAAAAAACATATAAAGAAAAAAAATCAAAAACATAATGGTTTTGATTGGATTTTCCAGTACATGGGCCTTATGGATGTTGTAAAAATGAATATCATTGATTTCAGTGCAACTGGATGATGTCTGCTTTTTAAATGTGAATTAACCAGATTGCAATAAACTAGTACAGTTGAAAATAAACAAATAAATAAATCATGAATAAAGGGAATCCGTGCATCTGAAGTGAGTGTTCTTTCAAAGCGCAGATAAAGCGTATTGAAGCAGCTGAACTCCTTAGAGTGGCTCCGTTCCCCTGATGCCGTGTGAGCTCTATTCTTCTTGTCATGCTTTCTATTTAACAATAAATATCTGTGAGCTACAGTAATGCTGCTCATAAAACACAGATAATGTGCATTTAAAAAATGTATTGTGACCGTAATGAAAACTCTTGGATGGGTGTGAACACATGCTTAACGCAGGCTTAGTTTATTTTTACATTAAGAGATATCAATAAATAATAATGGAAATATTTGCAGTGGATATTATTATACATGTTAACGTGGTAACAACGAATGAATTTTATGAATTTTATACACATTCAAGTCTATGATTCATCTGCAGGGGAGAACAGTGAGTCCATATTGCATCACAAATCATGATTCATGCTGCTTTCATAGTGTTTAAATCAGTGCAAGAGGATCTGAATCAAAAACTCGAGTCTTTGCCAATTATATATGGTGTTTTATAATATTGTGACATAAAATTAAAACATGAAATATACAGAAATCAGAATCAGCCACACTGTTGTCCAGAGTGGACAGAATAATGTGAGATTCTGTGACCTGCTGACCCTGCAAAAATTCAATTCAACTGTAAAATATGACAGATCTGAAAGTCATGGGAAAATGGCAACTGTCATTGGTATAATGCATCAAATTTATTCATCAGATTCACAAGATTTTATCTTGCATAATGTATATATATATATATATATATATATATATATATATAAAATGCAGAACTATATATTATGCAAATTCCCGTTTATTTAGCGTTATGATTGCTGTAAGTAGGGAAAACCCCAACACTGATCATCAGATGATTTAATGCCTGTGACTCGCTGAATAAGGGCAGAAACATCTATTTAAAGTAGTGTTTCTTCTTTTACCAGTGCAGTTTCTACTTTAATTGCATCCATGTGTTTAAGCAGCTGGTTCGGCCTCTGAGTCTCATAACTTGAGCCGGACAGAAGGTCGGTGCTGTTCCCAGAAATCAGCCATCGGAACGCATCGATACACTACGGGCCTCTGAACCTGTCCGCTTGGGAACCAGGGTTCAGCACACCATCTGAGTAACTCCTAAATACTTGAAAACTAGAATGTGATTTTATGATTCATCCACAAATACCCAATACTACTGAAAGATGTGCTTAACTAGGCTACTGGTGTTTCAGTTGTACTGTACTTCACTGAACTGTTAGCCAATCAGTTAATCAATCTATCTGTGTGTCTAGGCATTGCCAATCTTCACAGCCTCAGAGGGCTTTACAGACCCCCACACAGACGCTCAGCATCCCAAGTACTCTCAATATGACAAGATAGATTTTCTCTAAAACACTTTATAATTACTTTCATTAAGAAAATTCACCAACATTACCACATTATATAATGCTTAACAGATCATTAGCTAGCAAGTTAAAAAATGATCTTCTCAATTACATGTAAGCATGTGTGTGTTGTATACAATTAATATTTTTTGACATACCGTTATAAATGATATATTAGTGTTTTTATTTTTTATATTATCCGACAAAACAAACTGAAAAAAAAAAAAATTAATATACAGTGATATAATTTTTATTATTGTTTTGTATTATATTGTGTCTGTGAGTGTTGCAGTACCACATAATCAAACATAGATAAGATTATCTTATCTGTTTCTTACAGTAGTCATGTGTACTCAAACAATTTCGCTTCAAGACGCTTGTTTCCCTTATCAGCGTGTCAAAGTCTCATGATAGACTCATGAGCTGTTAGGGACCATCAATAAAATACCGCGAATTTTTGTACGATCATAACATTTAATGGACAATACCTATAAAAGCACACACAAACAAACCGTTTGTAAACATCTAAAATATAATGTCGTTTTGTTAATTATATTAATCATTAATTAACAGCCAGTGATTGTAACGATTGTTTCGCGTCACAACACAAACATACATTTTACGACTGTCCCTAAGAACACTCCACACCAGAGAGCACAAGAAAAGTTTTCCAAAATATTCACTTTATTCAGGCTATCGGGCAGTTTAAAGACCTGGCTCGGACGCCCTGTGGGGAACAATATTTATCAACCATTTAGCTCATGAGATGAAACAAGGTAAATAATAATTATTACAATATGTCTGTTTTTGTAGCGAAGTATCAGACAGGCAGTTCGTGCGTATTTTAGTTCCGGGTGTGTTTCAGTTTAGGAACCTCACTGGGCTAACTAGGAAAGGTGTGTCATTCAGCGCTAAACCTAAACCCCTGTGTATTAGTTACTAAATGCACGATACAACGTCATTATTAATGCATTTTCTCTGAAAACTGGCCATCATAAGGGGCCATGGCTACGGCGTTACTGTCAGAGACGGAGATCAGGCAGCGGTCTATGGCAGAGGAGGATCCGAACGGGAATGAACATGGGGCGGCTGCGCGCAGCACCGTGCCTCGCTGGGGACCGCAGCATGCCGGGGCCCGACAGCTCGCCAGGCTTTACTCTCCGGGTAAGACAAGTATATCGCGTGTCATTAAACCGATCTGTGTTTATAGGAATCGTTTTTCTACTGTTTTACGCTGCAGCATCATCGGGCCACATTAAGGCCAGAACACACACACACACAAGTTACGTGTAGCTTTGTGCAAAGAGGTCAGTTTGAGATCAATATGTGACAGCAGCGCATGAATGACGTCAACATAATATAATGAATATTGGTGCTTGTATAACATCCTTCTGAAAATGTAAGACTTACTATTAATGGGTTGCCTGTATTGTGTATTTGCTACTTCTTAAAACTTGTAACACTGTGCGTTCACACTTATAGAAGTAAACGACACTAGAAATTGTACCTGTCAGGATTAAGTGTTGAGAACAAGAGAATCGTTTGCAACTCTTACAGGGACTGGTCACTCAAAATTGAGAATTCTGTCAATATTTTCTCACCCTCATAGTTATCAAGATCTTTTTGACTTTATTTTTTTCCTTATTGGAACTCAAAAGAGATTTTGGGCGGCCTGTCACTATTCAGTGCATCTTTTTCCATAAAATGAAAGTGAATTGTGACATTCTGCCTTGAGTAAATGATGACATATTTGTTTTGGGTGAACTGTTTATGATTTGCTGTACAACTATTACATATTAATAGACTTGGAGAACTTTAAAAATAACTTGTTTCATATTTAGTGCATATGAATAATAGCTTTTTAAGTAGATTTTTTTTTATAAATGTGTATGTGTATACACATTGTAAATATTAGGAATTGCCTTTAACCCCCAACCCCACCATGCCATCCCCAACTAAAACAAGATTTAAGTTCCCTTCCACTGTCCTCTAGCAGCAGAAGCAGTCTCATTGTGTCATGGGACACTTGTAGATTGCAGCTGCAATTAAAACTACATCGATTTAACTCAAAATGCTATTAAGAATGATAATGACCACTCCATTTTCTTTGGCAATGCACCCAGCGCGTTAAGCATATGCTACCCCCGGCACGTCCAGCATGTAAATTACTTGGCCATGTTGAGAATGTTTGAGAGAAGTTTTGCGAGGTTAATAAGATAATGTTGTAATGCTTCTCTCTGTGAATGGGGGGGATGGTGGGATTGTGGATGGGATTTTTAGATGAGCTCAGTTGAGTTTAGTATCCACCAGCTGTGAAGTGCATGTCGGAGAGGCTTAACTGTGGGTATCTCAAGGAAAGTACGCCGGGATTGTTGTTTTGCTTGTGCTGTGGTTTGCATGCTGTTTGTAGTTGTAATTACCACACTTTCAAAGTTTATCGTCCATGACATCGTCCATTTTACCTCAAAATGCAAACCAATATTCTCATAAATATTCTATATTTTAGATATACACTACCTTTCAAAAGTTTTGGGTTGTTTAGGGTCACCAAGGCTGCATTTATTTGATCAAAAACCAGTAGAAACAGTAATATTATTACAATTTAAAATAACTGATTTTAAAGGAGAGGTCTAATGCTATTTCATGCATTCTGATTTATTTACACTGTTAAAGAGTTGGATTCTCATGCTAAACATGACCAAAGTTTCAAAAAACAAGTCGGACGTATGACAGGGTATTTCTGTGCCAAAGACACTCCTTCTGGGTTCGTATAAGTTTCGGAAAGTTTTGGCCCTGTTAGGGATGTAACGGAATGAAAATTTCTTATCACGATTATAGTGACCAAAATTATCACGGTTATCAGTATTATCACGGTATTGTTAAAATGTACTGGAGAAGATGTTAAAAAAGTACCGACACACAAATTACTTAACCAAGTTTTATATTTAAAAATCAACAAACAACAAATAAAATGATTTTTGTTTGCATAATCACTAAAACAATAACATTACCAATGATGTTCAGATTTTAAATGACAACTTGACTGACAACAGTTTAATAGCATGTTCAAATATCTAATGTAAATGTTCAAATAAAGCTTTGAAAAACTTTAACAAAAAAGTAAACCTCACATTTCAGCCTTTAAATAAAGAAAAGTCAAAGATATGTCAAAATGATAATTGATTAATAAATGATTATATGTATTTTATCTGCTCCATAAATAATACTAGATAACTTATATTAATTGTTTAAATGTGTAGAATCCACATAAGCTTGTTTTTCATCAACCGGTCAAAATTTACAGCAGGGCATGCAAATTCGGTCCGTTTTTGGCCAGACAGAAACTGCACACAGGCTGAATGTAAATATAAGTCTCTGTAAAAAAGCTGAATTAGAGCTGTTTCCCCTAACCTCCGTGGACAAAGCAGTATTGCGATTAAAGGGGTCATATGATGCTTTTTTTAAAGATCATTATTTTGTGTATTTGGTGTAACAGAATATGTTGACATGCTTTAATGTTCAAAAAACACTGTATGACGTCATAAAGGGCAGAATTCCTTGTATGGGCACTTCTCTAGGAAGAGTGTGCACACACAGCAAACAGAGCGAGAGTAAGAGCAGCCCATCAACGTGCTTCCTTTGGGTAAGTTGTCGGCAGCACTGCACAGGACTTGCTCGAGAAGGAATTGTAATTTTGTGTTTAGACCACAAAATCAACAATGTCACCAAAGAAGTGTGTTTTTGGTTATGAGGGAAAGATAACCTTGTTCAGCTTCCCAAAGAACCCGGTGTTAAGGGAACAGGATGCAGTTTGTTTCTCTGGGGCAGCAATGGAGTAGTGCAAGTGTGTTTGTTTGTTCTCTGCATTTCGGTGCCGAAATGTTTTATAAACAAATTAAATATAAGTCAATTAAGTTTTTGTTCATGTTTGGTTCATGTTGATGTCACATGTCACTGCTTGCAGACGATCGGTACGCAAAAGCTTTATGTGCTTGTGACTCTTTAGCTCCGCCCACGGCACGCCTCCAGGAGCTCGACTGTTTTCAGAGAGAAGCGTAAAGCTGTATGTCTTTTATAAATCTGATAAAACTAAAGACCCTTCGGAGATGTGAAGGATGCAATACTTCTCTGTAGGTACTCAAGATTAACATGAGATTGGCAGAAACTGTGTTATGTCCCCTTTAATATAATTTTATTTCATTCCTGTGGTGGCAGAGCTGAATTTTCAGCAGTCATTAATCCAGTTTTCATTGTCACATGATGGAATGAAATCATTCTAATATGCTCATTTGGTTCTCTAGAAATACTTCTTATTATTATCAATGTTTTTCTTATTTCTTATTATCAAAACATTTTTCTGGTTAATATTTTTGTGGAAACTGTGGTAATTTTTACATTCAGGATTCTATGATGAATAGAAAGCTCAAAAGAACAGCATTTATATAATTTTTGTAACATTATAAATGTCTTTACTTTTGATCAATTTGGAATCCTTGCTGAGTAAAAGTATTAATTTATATATATAAAAAATATTGTACCACCATTAAGGGCTAGTCTTTAAGCACCCTGAATTATTTCTGATTCCTATTTAAATTGAATTTGAATGGTGTTAGCAAACAGGATATAGAACCTCATTTTGAACATGAATGTAAGGAAATAGTACAATTAAAGTAAATTGAAATTCAAATATTTTTATGCAACAAACTGGAAAAGCAAGTTTGTTGAAATATTGTTTAGAAAAATTTGAAGGTTTATAGACCTTCAAGAGAAGAGAAATGGATAAATTGATTCTAATTAAGTGCGTGCTATGGCCAATTTAATTTCAGTTCAGTGCATTTGAACAAAGACTTGGAATCTTAGATTTATTAGGTTTGTTTCTGAAGAAATTTAGAATTTGTTTATGTGACCGTTCTATTCACACCATAGAACGGTGCAATGTGGTTCCAAAATGGTGATACCTCATGGCTTGCTTCTTGCAGGTATCGAACCATCAACCTTGTGTTTACCATTTCTAATCTTTAAGTACACCACATCACCCCCAAAATGGTCTTGTCCACCTCAAGTCCTTGTATATTTACTTTAATTCGGTCCTTTATCCACAAAAAGTGCCATAGTCTTGGAATCCAATGGTTTGGTTACCGGAGAGACCCTTGACTTCTGATGGAATTCAGCTGGCATGAGCTGATGTTGAACTGCGGTCCGCCTAGAGAGGCCATGGAGAGCAGAGGGTTGAGCCACAGAATATAATGTCAAGGATGCTAAAAGCAGATGCTCTGGAGGCTTGTCTGAGGCTGGTTTGTGCCTGCGCGTGTCTGAGATTAGGTGAGCGGGAATGGCGTTTGGAAGTGTTGAGGCTTACTCGTGAAAAGGGATTGATGAGGCTTCAGTCTGCTCAATGAAGCCTCCGGCTCATTACTGTAACCCCAGGACAGCGAAACAGCTGGACGCCTCTCGCCGCCATATGTCTGCGTGTTATGCACCACTGACTGCTCTTTGTGCTTTTTATCCCACTTTACAGATTCGCCGCAAAGTAAACAGGGTTTACAGGCTACTTTCTGTTTCCCCCATCGCCTCTGCCAGCCGCCATGCTCTGGTTAACGGGGCGCTTGCGGTGTGTGTGTGGGAGTGTGTGTTCAAGGAAAAAAAAGAAATCAATATAGTATTACGTTGCAAGATCTAGTTTCCTATGCAGTCAGCGATCTTGACTCCAATTGGTTTAGTCGCTCCTTATTTGTGGCAGGCTGATGTCTTGACTACAGAAAAGCTTGAACCATGTGGAAAGGTGAATGATACGTGGTGTAAATGGGTGGACGGCACTATAGACACACTGACCTACAAGTACAAATGTGATTTTAAGCATATCAGCTGTCAAACACCTCTACATTTATTTATGGTAGCAATCCTGCAGATAAGCCAACAATGTGTCAACACTGCACACCAGGAGCGTTACTCTTCTTTGTGTGTGAATCCGTTCCGCCATAACAATCCACTCGGAGATGCATTCCTGTTGCACACGCACCTTTATGTTTGAGAATGATTTTTATAATACATAAATTGATTCTTCCACCTGCAGGCTTTGAAGCTAATGTGAAACTTTATGCAATTCAAGGGCACATATCTTTTCTTTAATCTCTCTGCATGGAAACGGTTGTATTTCCAAGGCG